GAGATCATCAGACTCTCTCCTGTTTTCTCTGACAGCAGGCGGTCTTTCTCCTTCCTTACAGCGTCGAGCTCCTCAGTTGCACTCTGAATCTTAAAAAAATAAATAAAAATTTTTCAGAAATAAAGATGAAAATTTGTCTCAAAATTAACAGAAAGAGTGAGTAAGTAAAACCCCCCTTTTTTTTTTATCTGGGACAGCAAATTCTCAAAAGCATTTGGGATAAACCTATAACCTTTGTGTTTACTTTACAGAGGACGAAAAGCGATAAATGTTACCCCTTCAAAATGAAATAATAAAAAAAACAAAACAAAACAATAATTGATCAAAATGTTGTCATGTGTTTGCTTATTTTGCAAAATTTAACCTTGATAAAGTAACTGTAGGAAATTCTAGGAAGGATGTAGTGAATAGATTTCAAATTGTAACTAACCTACACTAAAGCAACTAAAAGCTGAGCAGGTTATTGTTTAAGTTTAGGACATTTTTTTGCCCGCGTGTCAAAAAGTTTGACCTACAAATATTTAAAAAAAAAAAAAAGACTACATTTTCATTCAAAGAAATAGAGACAAACTGACAAGTAGACACTATAACAAGTCATTCTTACCCGTTTCTGCAAGGACTCCAGCTGTGTGCACGAGTCCTCACCGGCTGTATCTGCAGCCTTCAGCTGCTTGATTATTTCCTTTTGAGCACGGATCTTCTCCAGAGCTGTCCTCAGTTCTTCCTGATTCTCAATCATCTGTTTGATATATATATAAATACAATATTTATAAATAACCACAAAAGAAGCTGTACACATTTTTTGTGTGATTCGTTGCGTTACCATTTCTACATTTTCTTGTAGATCCATCTTGAGCTGGTCTCTCTCAGCACAGACGCTAGCCACAGAGGAGAGGATTTTCTCCATATCATTGGAAGAGCTCACTGGCAGTGGGAGGGGCTTATTCTCACCTTGAATGCATTCAAATAGCTAAGGAGGGACAACAACCAGAAAACAATCACCAAAGGTAGCTAAAACTATCCATAACGCTCTGCTTTCTTAAAGCCTAGTAATTCTCATATAGTGGGGCACGAAGCGCTAGCAATGAAATATGGCACGATGGACATAAGTGTACCACTGTAGTAATGCTTAAACGATAACAAGCCTCCAGTCACTAGGTGGCAGCAACTCATACAATGGTTTGTACAGAAAAAAAATATACATTTTATCAGGTTCTCAACAGTAATAGCTGATATAGCCGTTTAGCTATCTAGTTAGAGCTGTTATTTTTTTTTTCCCCCAATTATTAAAAGCAAAGTTGTCACTCACGGTTTCCATGTGTTGTTGCAGGCTTCTCCTGGACTCATCTCTCTCTGAAGTCACTGAAGTTAGTGTTGACTGCAGATGATCTTTCTCGGTAATAACAGATGCTAATGTAGACTGCAGCTGGTTCGTCTCTCCGGTCAACGACGTTATCACAGACTGCAGCCGGTGGCTCTCGGCAGTCACCGATGTAAGTAAAGACTTCAGCTGATCTCTCTCCGCAATAACAGATTTTATCGCAGTGTTAAGATCGTCTCCATCCACAGTCACGGGTGTAAGGTCAGAGTTCACCTTGTCCAAGTCAGTGGTGACACCTGTTGATGCGAACTGCAGCTGGCGCCGCTCATCGATAACTGATCCAGAAACAGAGTTCAAATCTTCCTTTTCTCCAGTCAAAGACGTTAGTGTAGACCGCAGTTGATCTTTTTTTTCTGCAGTCACAGATTTTAGCGTAGACTGCAGCTGATCATTTTCTTCAGTCACGGAGGTAAGCGTAGACTGCAGCTGATCATTTTCTTCAGTCACAGACGTTAGCGTAGACTGCAGTTTATCTTTTTCTGCAGTCACAGATTTTAGCGTAGACTGCAGCGGATCATTTTCTTCAGTCACAGATGTTAGCTTAGACTCCATCTGATCTTTTTCTTCAGTAACAGATGTTAGCGTAGACTGCAGTTGATCTTTTTCTGCAGTCACAGAGGTTAGCGTAGACTGCAGTTTATCTTTTTCTGCAGTCACAGATTTTAGCGTAGACTGCAGCTGATCGTTTTCTTCAGTCACAGATGTTAGCTTAGACTCCATCTGATCTTTTTCTTCAGTCACAGATGTTAGCTTAGACTCCATCTGATCTTTTTCTTCAGTCACAGCTGTTAGCGTAGACTGCAGTTTATCTTTTTCTGCAGTCACAGATGTTAGCTTAGACTCCATCTGATCTTTTTCTTCAGTCACGGAGTTAAGCGTAGACTGCAGCTGAACTTTTTCTTCAGTAACAGATGTTAGCGTAGACTGCAGTTTATCTTTTTCTGCAGTCACAGATGTTAGCTTAGACTCCATCTGATCTTTTTCTTCAGTCACAGATGCAAGTGTAGACTGCAGCTGGTCATTCTCTGCAGTCACAGACGTTAAAGTGGAGTTCAGCTGATCCTTTTCTAATGTCACAAATGTTACAGTACACTGCAGCTGATCCTTCTCAGCAGTCAAAGATGTAATCATAGACTGCATCCGGTCTTTCTCTGCAGTCTTGGGTGAAAAGGTGCTCAGGGCAGCACTGTCCTGCTCAGAGAGTGCGATTTCTTTCTCCGTTGACACACACTCAGGATCTTCAGCCGTTTGACTCGCCATCTGTAAGAAACAAGGTAAAATGTTTGTATACATATATATATATATACACATACATATATATATACACATACATATATATATACATACATATACACATACGTATATACATACATACATATATACAGTATACACACACATATATACATATATACACACACATATATACATGTTCACATACAGTATATACATATGACATATATACACACACATATATACATGTACACATATATAAGTTAGCTACATAAACATCATTAGCAGTGGAGGAATGCAATCGAATAGGGAGGAGAATATGTTGGAGTTAAATGGCTTGTATAAGTTTAGAAGAAAAAAAAAAGTGAATCTTTTTTTTTTTAAAACTGCTAAAGCAGTTCAATAACTTTTACTATGAACCCCTTAAATTACACTTCAAATGCCAAATATGTTTTGAGAGATTTAAACGGAAACTGTCATGTGTGAAATTGGTGCTTTTTAATGTATGTTGCACAATGCTGAGCAGAATTATTTTCAATTTTGGTATTAAACTGGACATAAAGACAAGAACGTAGTATTTCACCCCTGAATAAAAATGATCACTAAATCCTTACTCTGCATAGACGTGGTAATTAAATATAAAATACAAATTTACCTTTCGCTGAAGTCCATCTGAAAACTCCCTTGCTTTATTCAGCTCATCAGACAGAATCTTAAGTTTGTTCTGGAAAAGGAAAAAAAAAAAAAGAAACCCTGAAATTATCAACATTATTACCCAGCTGAAAACATGGTTTACAAGGGAAGTTGGTTCTTGTTGATTTAGGAAACGAAAATAGAATTTCTCAATCTACAATGCAACTTTCCATGATTTTTTGATTTTGTTAGTTTACAGATATTGTATGTTGTAGCACAAGGGGGAAAAAAAGAGGACTTTTTGTTGACAAAATTCAATACATTCTCAAGGCCTCAAATTGCAATTAATATTAAGACTTTTTAATCTACCCTGTTCATCCAAAAAATAAACCACATTGCATTAAATCTGGCTAAGAACCTCTGACCCTAACATTTCTATAACCATTACGACAGAGGCTAAATATGGTTAATATTTATATTAACCATATACATGTATATATACACATATATATTAATTATATAATTATAATTATATATTAAATAATTAAATAATATTTTTCATACATCTCATCTCTGGACAGCTCAGAATAATTAAATTATATTATCATAATTAGTAATATATATACATATATATGTATATATACACATATACTAAATATGGTTATGGTTAATATGGCTAAAAGTAGAAGAGTCACCGTTGAAAATGACTGAAAGAAAAACAACTGTCTTTAAACAAAACATTAAAGGTTAAAAATAAATAAATAATGACATCTTACCAGAAGCATCTGTTGCTCAACTTCAGAAGATTTAAGGGCATTTTTCAAGGTGAGGATTTCATTTTTCATTTCATTCTGAAGGATGACAGACATAATTGTTTGGTTAACAAATGACCAAAGAAAGAAAAAAAAAAAAGTTTTTTTTAACTGTTGCTGTTCTTGGATCCAAACAACACTGCATTTACCTCTTGTTCTTTCCGAATTTCCTCCTCCAAAGATTCAAACTCTTTTGTCTCTCTTTTATCCTGCAGGTCCTGTGACAGCGCAGATTTTTCCTTCTCCAAACGCTCAGTACGCTCCATGACCATCCTCAGCTCCTCCCTCAGATCGTCTCGTTCAGAAACGGCTATGCTCTACGTGTGAAAATACAGAGCATTAGTTAAACGACAAACAAATCACCTGTTACAGCATCTATGTTGTATGAAAAACTTTGATAAATAATCTTTAAAAAATTTAAAGAAAAAAAAAAATATATGTAACTTAATTTACCAAAAAACATATTTTGGTTTTGGAAAAACACAAAATGATTTTACATGAAAAATCCTAAATAAAAAATATCCAAAAACGCCTATGCTTTTTAAAATACAAACGCTTGTACATTGTTTCTACCAAAATGATCAAAAAACATCATAGCTTAGATTTGGAATATCTTAAAAAAACCACCACCCCTGTTAAGACTGTTGCTTGCAAAAGTTGCTTACTCATAACTTAGCTCATACCTCAAAGCCCCGCTGTAATTTTTTTTAACCTCAAAGTCACCCTGCAATAAATTCTCTCCAATATATCCGACATTTGCCAAATTAAATATTGCTTTACTAGAACATTTTCAGTACAAGTTTCAATTATTTTATCAAAGACATTTGCCCAAATGCATATACATGTATATATACACATATATATTAATTATATAATTATAATTATATATTAAATAATTAAATAATATTTTTCATACATCTCATCTCTGGACAGCTCAGAATAATTAAATTATATTATCATAATTAGTAATATATATACATATATATGTATATATACACATATACTAAATATGGTTATGGTTAATATGGCTAAAAGTAGAAGAGTCACCGTTGAAAATGACTGAAAGAAAAACAACTGTCTTTAAACAAAACATTAAAGGTTAAAAATAAATAAATAATGACATCTTACCAGAAGCATCTGTTGCTCAACTTCAGAAGATTTAAGGGCATTTTTCAAGGTGAGGATTTCATTTTTCATTTCATTCTGAAGGATGACAGACATAATTGTTTGGTTAACAAATGACCAAAGAAAGAAAAAAAAAAAAGTTTTTTTTAACTGTTGCTGTTCTTGGATCCAAACAACACTGCATTTACCTCTTGTTCTTTCCGAATTTCCTCCTCCAAAGATTCAAACTCTTTTGTCTCTCTTTTATCCTGCAGGTCCTGTGACAGCGCAGATTTTTCCTTCTCCAAACGCTCAGTACGCTCCATGACCATCCTCAGCTCCTCCCTCAGATCGTCTCGTTCAGAAACGGCTATGCTCTACGTGTGAAAATACAGAGCATTAGTTAAACGACAAACAAATCACCTGTTACAGCATCTATGTTGTATGAAAAACTTTGATAAATAATCTTTAAAAAATTTAAAGAAAAAAAAAAATATATGTAACTTAATTTACCAAAAAACATATTTTGGTTTTGGAAAAACACAAAATGATTTTACATGAAAAATCCTAAATAAAAAATATCCAAAAACGCCTATGCTTTTTAAAATACAAACGCTTGTACATTGTTTCTACCAAAATGATCAAAAAAAACATAGCTTAGATTTGGAATATCTTAAAAAAACCACCACCCCTGTTAAGACTGTTGCTTGCAAAAGTTGCTTACTCATAACTTAGCTCATACCTCAAAGCCCCGCTGTAATTTTTTTTAACCTCAAAGTCACCCTGCAATAAATTCTCTCCAATATATCCGACATTTGCCAAATTAAATATTGCTTTACTAGAACATTTTCAGTACAAGTTTCAATTATTTTATCAAAGACATTTGCCCAAATGTGGATAATTGTCCAAATTCCCCCCAGGTAAGTACCATCAAATATACTTAAGTTTCTATGTGTGGACAACAGTAGAAAAAAAACCCAAAAAGGACTGTATACAAGAAGGCAGAAGAAAATAAACATCACTCCGTCATGATCATCTATACCAGGCGTGGGCAAACTTTTTGACCTGCGGGCCACCATTGCCCTAAAATTGAAGGGGAGGGAGGGGACCAGGAGCAGATAGATGGAGCGATCGTATGAACTAAGATAAATGAAATGTAAAAGTCATGCATAAAGGCTAAAATGCTTTTAGCATTTTCTACACCATAATGATAATATAAATAAATTATATAATTTGGAAAAGTTTGGCGGACCAATTTTATAAGCTGAACGGGACGCATCCGGCCCCCGGGCCGTAGTTTGCCCATGCTTGATCTATACTATATTTACCTTTTCAGCAGCTAGAGTTTCACACAGGTGGATGGTTTCCTCAAAGTCTTTTCTTATCTGAAAATCAAACGTATGAGAGTAAATATTTAAGAAGTTGAAATGGGATTCGGACTTAAATGATTTGCCCCCCCTCCCCTCACCTGTTTATTTTCATTCTGACAATAACAATGCTCTCCCAGTTGTGTCTCTTGGTCAGCGACTTTCAAATTCAACATCTGTATCATCTCTTTGGCCTCCGATTTCTGCTGAGCTTCAGTCTGTTGCAACAGCTCCAACTCCGCTGCCCGCTTTTCCGAGTTCTCAACCTTCTCCAACGCCTCGTCTTTCTGCTGGATTTCCGTTCGGAGCTGCAGTTGCAACTCGGCGACTCTGACATCCAAGTTTGCTACTTTATCCGTGGCCTCCTCCTTCTGTTGACTTTCGCTTTCCAGCTGCAGCTCTAGTTGGGATATTTTCTGCAATAAGTCCCTTATCCGTTCTGAAGTCTCGTCGGGACTGTTGAAGAGACAGAAGGTTAAGATTAGTTAGGTTAAACTCCATTGAGCAAACAAACTAGGTACTAGGTTTACATGTGCTGTAAATACATACATACATACAAATTCCAATTATCTCGTCAACAGTCTGTCAAGTGGTTTGATTTCTCTGTTCACATCACACCCTTCTTCAGGGGAAGAAGAAGATTTTTTTTTTGTCTAAATGTATCTTTAAAAACGAACAGGACAGCCCCTAATTTCCAATTCCTGGCACATACAGTGGGGCTTCAAGATATGACAAGATACGACAACAGCACTCGTATGATATGATCCGGTCGTATCTCGATTTTCCCCATTAAAAATAAGTAAAAACCAATTCATTCGTTCCCGGCCAAAAAACATAGATATAAACAAATATATTGATAATATAAAATGATAATAATTAAGAAAACACTATTTTATTGTTATAAAAATGGGTAAAATAATCGACAGTGTCGGGCCACTAAGATAGGAGAAGGACTGGGAGGACTGTCTTTAGATGAGAAAGATAGAGAGAGCGATAGAGGAAGGGAGAGAGAGAGAGAGAGAGAGAGAGAGAAATAAAGCAACAGGGAAAATAACCCAGCGAGAGACAGTGAGAAAAACAGTGTCGAGTGGAAAAAGTGGAGCTCGGCTGCGCACTTATAACTTGATGTTTCCTCGTATAAAGAGAAAAAAAAAAAAATAGCAAAAGTTCCTTACTCTTGGAAACGTGGAAAAAGTCATATTTCGGGTAGCTTGTATCTTGAAGCCCCAATAAAAACACTTTTGAAAGAATTAGGTTAATTAATTTTGATTTAGATGAGAAAGATAGAGAGAGCGATTTTGGAAGGGAGAGAGAGAGAGAGAGAGAGAGAGAGAAATAAAGCAACAGGTAAAATAACCCAGCGAGAGACAGTGAGAACAACAGTGTCGAGTGGAAAAAGTGGAGCTCGGCTGCGCACTTATAACTTGATGTTTCCTCGTATAAAGAGAAAAAAAAAAAATAGCAAAAGTTCCTTACTCTTGGAAACTTGGAAAAAGTCATATTTCGGGTAGCTTGTATTTTGAAGCCCCCCCAAAAAAACACTTTTTGAACGAATTAGGTTAATTAACTAGATTACTCTAAAGGAGTAGTTCTCAATTATTTTCTGTTATGCCCCTGAATTATCCCCCCCACCCCCCGACCCCATGAATTGAGAACCTGATAACATGTATATTGTTATCTGTACAAACCACTGTATGAGTTGCTGCCTCCTAGTGACTGGAGGCATGTTATCATTCAAGCATTACAGCAGCGGTACACTTATGTCAATATTCCATTGGAAGCCCCTCACAACTTCCCACTACCACCTCGCTGCACCCCTTCAGGCCCCCGCCCCCCCCCATTTGAGAAGTATGCTCTAAAGAAAGTAGGTCTACACAACAAGAATCAACAACAATGACCCTATCATTATCAAGTACTGGGGTTATTCTTCAGGTAGGGGTATTAAAGTTACAGACACCACTGAAAGATACAGACAAGGGCATTCATATGAGCCCCTTGAATTTTTGGTCAGTGAGCCTTGGATATAAAATCGATAAATGCAACCAATTGATACCTCTGTCAGTCCTTGAAAGCAATAAAAGTAGTAATCTAATTGAATGATTCGCTCAGTCAAAAAAGTAAACATACCCGTGTTCAAAGCTCTGGACAGAACTCTGATCCATTTCCTCTGACGTTTCATCAGGATTCCAGTGATTATCAATTGTCATGTCATCTGCACAAACAAACCACGTATGGTTTTATGAACTTTAAGTGTTCTTCAAAATACCAAGACAAGCTGCATAGTCTTCTACACTTTTATACCGCACCTTCAGGCAGCTCGATCAGACACGAGTTGAAATCTTTCCACTTCTCAGCAGAATGTTCCGAGAAGCTGTGTTCGGACGTTTCGGGAATCGACAGATGGGCAAGTCGCAGCATTTTCCCTCCCCATGTAACTCTGCGTTTGGGCATCTGCAACCAGAGGCAAGAAGACAATAATGAATGAGGTAAGAACCAAGAAGACATTCTCAGAGAAGAAGATTCTCAGTCATCAAGGTCAAGGTCGAGTAGTTCCGTTAGGCAACTGCACACGGAATTTTCCTCCTTGAAGGGCCTGGTTGTAAATGGAAGACCTGTATAGATCAGGGGTCAACAACTCCCGGTCCGCGGACCAGTACCAGTCCATAGGTCATTTGGTACCGGGCAGAGTGGGACATAGTGAAAAAATTGCACTTAATTTTTTACTAATTTACTTCATTCAAAGAAAATACAGTCATATCCATTTACTTTCTTTAACGATTATCTGGACATATTTTAAAATAATAGGTCATTCAGACTCTGATACAGACAAATATTTAATGATCTGGTCTGTAGTAAAGGGTAGTACTGGCTGACTAGTCCTTGGGAAAAAAAAAAAAGGTTGGGGAACACTGGTAAAGATGTAACTTAATCATGTTTCTGCAATCGATTATTTGTTTAAACTACAAATATTGTTCATTGCTGTTTAATTAAAACTTTGTTTTGTTTTTTAAGGTTAAGAAACTCTGCCGCTGAATACTTTTCAAGCTCCTGCGGGCCACACAAATCGACTTGGCGGGCCACTTTTGGCCCCCAGCCCTCGTGTTTGACACATTCAGGGGAAGACCTAGATGAGGTTGCCAACAGTATATCCCACAAAAATGTCTAATGGTTATGAATATGACCTATACAATTGGAAATCTTAACAGTTCACTTTGTTTTTGGACAGTTTCTTAAACTTTTCTTTTCAGAAAAACTGCATTAATTTGTTAATTAATTAATTTGTTCTCCATGGCCCGTTGTGGCACCGATAATTTTAAGTGTAATGCATTCTGATGTATACCACTGAAAAAAAAAACCAAATAAACAGTCCACTCCTATTGTAAAGCTCATGAGGAAAGTGTTAGAGCAATATTCCCCGTCTCCCCAACCCCCCCGCTCACCTGAGGCCTCGGCGCTCTGGGACAACTCTGGAAGTTTGCTCCTCAGCACCACTGGGTTCTGGTACTGTGGGTCCAGCAGGAACACCCTCTCGTAGTGGGGGTCAGCGTGGACGGGGCCTGTAGGACACAAACGGGTGTTTCAGGACTCGATATCAATGACTCCACATATATACACATACATATATATGTGTACATATATAAACACATACATATATATGTACATATATATACACACATGCATATACTGTATATGTACATATATAAACACATACATACATACATACACACATATACATACATACACACATATACATACATACACACATATACATACATACACACATATACATATATATGTATACACATATATATATACCCACATATACATACATACAGTACATATATACACATATATACATGCATAAACAAACCAGCAGTTTCACTTGCCTCCATTAGTCTGCGCTTCAGGTCTTCAATTTCGTTGCGGTACCTTTTCAGGAGAGCGCCATCATCAGACACTTCCGTCACATGGGGGTCATTTTTCATCTTCTTTGCTGTACTTGCGAACTGCAAATATGGTTTCTCAAATTACCACCTATGCTATACATCCCACAGATAATTCACTCATTACAAAGGCTTTGAAGTTCACCTTCAAATGCACGTCAGAAATCCAAAAAAACACAAAGAACCCAGAACAAATATATTTAAATCATTATCTGGGCCCAAATTTGTTCTTTTTTCGCTACCAAGATCGTAATCACGGTACTGACCTGTAAAGTGCTCAGTGTCTCATCCAGAGCCATTGGAGTGATGGTACAGATGATGACCGTCTTGGCATTTCCTCCAAGGGAATTTTGCAGGATCCGAGTGAGTTTACTGTCTCTGTAGTTCGTGAAACCTCTGTAGCAAGACATCGCAATGATCAAAGTACTGAATTGTAAAACTGCATAATTGTATATAAACAATTAAGAAGACACATGTACTTACTTCTGGCCTTCATCAGTAACTTTCTTGATCACCTGGCCGAGTGTGAACAGGCTGCGGTTGATGTTGCAACCTTCTTTGAAACGCGTGCCTGTTACGTAGTAAAATATGAATGAATTTAATATCACAAATGAATACTTTTGTTACCTAACTGGTGTCCAAAATTACAACATAGCCATATTGTGGTTTTGGACACCAGTTTGGTAACAAATGACAAATTAATTCAATTCAAATGAAGCAACTCATTAAGTAATAATTCATTTTTAGTCTAGTGTTCTATAAACTGCACATTTTAGACTACATTTAAAGACTGGAGTCTGCTGACAAAAAAAACTGTATTTCGATTAGCAATGTTAGTCATATACTTAAAAATTATTCCAATGGAATATGGCATGCTGGACCACTGCTTGAATGAAAACAAGCGTCCAGTCACTAGGTGGCAGCACCTCATACAGTGGTTTGTACAAATAAATACATGTTATCAGGTTCTCAATAGTGTTTCAATTTGCGGGGGGTGCATGTCGGAGGGTCAGGGCGTGAAAACATTTCTATCCCTAGACAAAAATAATAGTTTCATGTAACCAAATCTCAACATAGAGGGCAATGAAAACTTACCTTCAGCTCCAGTTTGACTTGCTCTTTCAGATCCAGCTAAATCAACTAAATTCTACAAGAATAAACAAAAAAAGAGACAAATATTCATTGACTTCTATACATATATATACATACATGCAGTACATACACACATGTGTGTATTTAGATATATATATATACATACAGCATATGTAAGTATATGTAAATGTATATATACAAACATCTATCTATATATGTGCATTTACATATACTTACATATATATACACACACACACACAAGTATACACATATGTGTAACCCGATTTTTTCAAACTTTTAAAAGAATAAAATCTTTACTTGTATAAGCATGGTAGAAATCGTTGCCCTTGACACGACTAAAGACCAAAAATAGCAAATATTCTCACCAAATGTGATACAATAATTGCACCATCGCCATTTTCGCCCGTCAATGGGTCGCTTCTTTCACGGCTCTCTAGGATCTGGGGCGAAAAAGAAATATGAATGAATCCAGACCTAGCCCTAAGCGCTGACCTTAAATGTAAAATACTCCTTACCATTCGAAAGATTGTGTGTGATCGGCTGCTCCGCTGATTCATTTTTGTCATTCCGTAACGGCGATTCTCTTAGTTACAAAAAGGGGGGAAATTCAGGTCGTTCGACATAAATGTGCGAATCCTACAAATGTTTAATGAGAATCACTTTACTTACTTTCTCCTTTACGAATCCAGGCTAGTGCTTGTGCAGAAGACGTAACAAGCTCTTCAGTTAAGTCGGCCACATAGGTGTTTTTCTGCGTAACAATAAGCGAGACAGTGATCAAATTACTGTATGTGACATTACATTAGGGCACCTGTATGAATATAAATAAATTATATAATTTGGAAATGTTTGGCGGACTGCATTAAAAAAGCTGAACGGGCCGAATCCGGCCCCTGGGCCTTATTTTGCCCATGCCTGTTCTTGGCCTTCAGGTTGTAATATAGCCTTTGAGCCTTAAAGAGCTCCTTCTGTTTTTTTTGTTTTTACCAAAGTCATGCTGTAAATGTTAACCAAAATTCCTTCAAAAAGGTCTTCAAATTGACAATACTTGACATAGCAGTACATAATATTGACAAGTACTACTGCTTTGTACTTAAACCTGAGCAGTACTGCAGGCTCTGTTTGTTTTTGGTCCGTTTTTAACATTAAGGTGGTACAGAACATGTTTACACACATGTATATACCTGTATATAAAGATTCTTGGGTATGCAATTTGTCAATCGGTTTGCGTTTCTATAATGAAATTAAACGTCTCCATGAAACCTAATTAGTGTTGTTGCTCTTGAAGTAACGTCTAAGAATTTCTGTGCAAATAGGTTTGGACCTTTTCTAGCCCTATACTATATTCTTGATCCACTTTTAAATCTTAAACTTCTTGTTTAACTTAGGAAAAAAAGAACCTAAATCAGTGTTTCCCAAACTTTTTTTTTTGGGGACCCATATTTTAAAAGTCACAAACCTTCGCGACCCAAGTCTGTAGAAATTATTAGTAAAGTCCTGAGAAACATGATTTGAGTCGACCCAAAAAAATCTCCACCTAAGGACCCACCTAAGGGGTCGCGACCCAGTCTTTGGGAAACAATGACATAAACAGCTACTCTACCCGAAATGACAGCAGCATAGTTTTTTTGAAAGTCAACTCACATTAATAGTCTCTCTAACTTCCAGTGGTTTTCGCTTCCAGCTGTCGACAAGCAGATCAGATACTGTCTCATTGTAGATTTCCATGTAGGACACCCGAAGAAGGAACTCCTTCTTTGGAAACTAAAAGAAATGGATCAGACAAAAAATATGGTAAAAAAAAAAAACCCAAAATAAATTAAAAAAACTTCCATCTTTGCAACAGATTGCGTAGTGTTGTACAAATCCTACATTTTTAATGGTTTGGAAAACATCTTCAACAGCCAGAGGTATCACTCCAGGAATATGTTCACTCCCCATCATGGTAAAGGTCTTTCCAGAGGCGGTTTGCCCATAAGCAAATATGGTTCCTGCAAATTAAAGAAGGCTCAAGTTAGAACAGCCATGGGCAAACTTATTGGCTCGCGGGTCATAATTGTCTTAAAATTGAACAGGGGGGCCGAGTCAGGAGCTGGTACTAAGATAAATGACATGTAAAAGTCATACATTAATGTTAAAATGTTTTTTATCATTTTCTACGCCATCATTGGGGAAACGTGGGTATTCCCGGGAAAAGGCAGATGTATAATGATAATATAAATAAATTATATAATTTTTTGCCCTTAGTTTGCCCATGCTTGAGTTAGAACACATCAAATAATGTTTAAGCTGTATTACACAGGATACGCAAACATAATGGAAAACTAATGTTTGCAAAATAAATAAATAATTATACTCCTCTTTATAAGGTCACAAAAAGTAAATAGCTCTGTTTATTTAGGGATGGTTTCTATTTTCTTGTGTTTTCCCCCTAGTCACTCGCTGGTGATTGGAAGATACTTCCCTAAATACATATACATATATATACATAATATGTATATATATATACACACATACATAAATATATATACAGTACATATCTTTATATACACAAACAGTGTGTATATTTGGTGTATCCATTGTTTTTACGCTACATTTCTTTCCTTTACCTGCACCCCTAGTAAATACACATAAAACAATGAACCAGTAAGTCGATCATGGGACGATTTCCGATTGTGCGTGTAGTTGTAGTTAGTTTCCACGGCACAAAAAAGGGGTGACCAAAGATGTCAACCAAATATGTCAACGCTGACAGACAGAATATGCTAATTTAACAAAGCTGGATACATGGTACTCTAAATGTGGTATAAAACAGAACTTACCATTGTAACCCTCAACAGTGGAGACAACCAACGGCTTTGCAATGTTCTGGTACAGTTGGTTAGTAGTTTCTTGAGAAGTGAATACACGATCTAAAAAGACAAGAATGAAAACGTTTTATCAGGAAGGTGATATCTTTGATAATGTATGGATATGTTTTCGACGAGTATGACATACCGAAACTAAAGCTTTTGGTGGAATTCCCATCATCAATCTGATGAATACATTTTTGGTCGGCTTTCCAAAACAGTTGAACAGGCTGAGAATCATCTAACGCAGCGCTTTCCTCTCTGTAAATACATCATGGGCTTAGATTTATACAACCATTATAGCAGTTCTCATTGTACTGTTTTCATTGTACATTTTATTAAAATGATTTCTTTATCTAACCGTGGACATGTGATCAGATTTGGGGACGTTTGTTTCGTTTTCAATGCTTTAAAATAAAGACCTTTTCTAAATGTAACTGAACTATGCCAACTAATTATAGGCCTTTTTTTTGGGCCATATCAAATAACTGGCTGAATTTCAAAATCCTTGTTAGGCTAGGAGGGAAGTTGTTGGTGTTACAGTTGATACAAAGCATTTTATTGAGAGTATGAGAAATGTACTTAAGAAAACGAAAAAGGCGAAAGCAAAAAAAATATACAGTATATACAAAACCACAATGACAGATGCTAGTTGATTTGAACTTTAGTCGGTTAATAACATTCGTCGTGTTACTGCACAACGCAGGCGCCAACAATCGAGTTTACTTTTAAAATTTTGAACTGCTTTTGGCAGACTCCCACCCTCAGAAAGTATGTCTGCGGACAATATTCAAAATTGTACTCCTCAGTCCAGTTCACATAACTGCATTAGCTTTACTGTGTCCAAGTAATACTGTGTCTGACTATGCCTTTGAAATACATAATTCAGTTAATAGTAACCTAAAACCTCCAAAATACGAAATAGTCCACTTTTTAAAAATAACAATAAAATAAAAACACAATTTTCATCTCTCTTATGAAGGTACAATAATTAGAATCGAATGCTAAAACTATCCTAGTTATATTACAAAGAGAATTTTGAATTTCACGTTAGCGATAACATTACATTCAGAATAGAATAGAACAGCCTTTATTTTCATTGTAACACGGCGGTACAACGAAATTATGAACACTTACCTTGCAATAAGCGGACGCACTCGAACGCACACTTTAACAGCCGATTCTTCGGTCATTTTCCCCACTTTAACAAACGCATTCAAAATAACGACTGAGCTAACCCACGAGCTTCTCGCGACGAACTTCAGTTAGCCGCCTTAGCTGTGTTCAAAAAGCAGCTCCTTAGTTTTTATTGGTCAACGTCATTGGAGGACGGTTACAAACCAGAGGAAGTTCTGCTCGCCAGCGTAAAAGCGTAATACTGTAATGGTTATATTAAATTATATTATATTAAAACGCGTGGTATCGAAAGTTGTAGATATAAAAAATAAACATAAAAATATTTTATGAAACTTAACTATTCTAACGTCTGTGCTCAAGAATTGAATTCGTTTTTTTAGTTTGAATTAACTATTCTAACGTCTGTGCTCAAGAACTGAATTCGTTTTTTTAGTTTGAATGATAGCTTGAAACGATAATTTTACAATAGCGCGTACTTTCTTATTTGAATAAGACACTTAAAAATTTTACAATAGCGCGTACTTTCTTATTTATAAGACAACGGTTCTGAACATTAACCTGTATAGCAAAAAAATAAAATAAAAACAACAACAAAAAATAGTCTTTGACAAAGTTATTCTGAAAAAAGTTATGACGCATTTAAGCACCAGCAGATGGCAATGACACTTTCGTTTGCGAATTGACCCCGTAGAAGAAGAAACAAGACCAGCTGCAACGCAGAAGAAGAAGCGTGCTCGCTGGTGGCAACATGTCCCTGTTTCTTGTGAACCGGTAGGCATGTTTTCTGTTAAAGTTTGCACCTCTTCTTATAAAATATTAATCAATTTGCGCAGTTTTCCTTACTAATGAAGAATTGTCGTGCAGGTTCTAGTCACATTGGTAGGGCATCAGAGTAAAATGCTGTTGAAATTGTTCAACGTGGGACGTGAAAGCCAAAATGTATTTCACCATCGCAGCGTAAAAATAAATATTTCCCTTTTTTGCAGTAAATGGTGACTTGCCTTTTGAATGACACGTGTAACCAAACAGTTAGTAGAAGGTTGTGAAGCGCCTGGATATTCTTATAAAGCAAGTCAGAGAATACTTTAAAATGTTTACCTTATTCATATACCTTACGCCGAATAAATTCTGACTATAAGTTACTTTAGGGTTACTTAAGTAAGCCTTGGATAAGTCTAAACAGATTTATTAGGTCAACCTTACAGTAGAGTGTTACAGTAGTCTATATCTAGATGTACATAGTACATGTACGGTGTGCATTAACTAATTTCCATTGTGTATATGCATAAAAAGTATTCGTATGTATATACAGTATGTCCATATGTATATGGTATAAACTGTATATATAGGCCGACCTTTATACAAAAAGGTTGGGGACCGTTTATCTAATGCAATGATCTAATTTATTTTTTTTGGGAGGGGGGGTGGTTGGAAAAAGTACACAATTGAATAATAATAAAAAAAATTGTATATGAATACAAAACATTCAATAAAACGTTCAATGGCAAATTTAAGATAAAAAAGGACAAGCTGTTGCATCTATATCAGTAACAAATTTTTAAAAAAAGTATAAATAAAAATTGAAAAAAACAAATAGCGACACCAAAGGCAAATCATCAGTCATAATGTGGTAACGAGAGAGAGAGAAATTCGAACAGACATTACCAATCAGAACAGTAGTGTGTGACCCACCTCAAGACTGGGACAATATTCCCATTCGGACCGACGGATCAAATTAGATCAGTCATGAGAAAAGCACCCCATATCCTACCGAAACTCTGATCTAATAGTTCTTTGTCTTTAAGACATCCCTGGAGTTTAAATATCTGTTGTATGTCATCTGGATACATTGAAAATATATTGATATTATGTGTTCTAATAATTTTATCTAGTGGGAGCCTGTAATGCTAACTGTTTGCTCGAATCTCTGTAGAAGTATATTATAATCAATCGTGTCAAACACTTGAAGGGCCTATAGGATCTCTTTCAACTTTGGCCCTTTTCTACCTTTTCAAAATAATTTGAAAAATGTGCTTAAAAGTACTTTTTTCTCCCCCAGGTATCTCGGAGAGGAGGAGGATGAAAACATCTCCAAGGAGCATGCGTCCAATGACTTATTGGCGAAACTGCAGAAGAAATCAAAACAAAATCAGGAACATAGTTTGAAAAACAAAACTGCAAATCACACAGTAAAAGAGACGCAACGACACGATGTAGTGAAGAAAAGAAAATCACTCCCAGAAAGTAATCAAGAAGCACAGCCCCGGAGGAAGAAAAAACTAGCGGCTGCGTCGTCGCGTGATTTGGAAAGCAACAGTGAGTTTGTTGGAAAAAAAAAAGGGCAGATCTTAAGTTAGTTTTAAAACACAAGTTACATTAACTGTATTTTCCTGACTATAAGTCACATTTATTTTTCATCCTTTGGTTGGGTTTGCGACCTATACTCAGGTGCGACTTATATATTAAAATATATAATTTCACATGTTTATAATTTTCACACTGATAGCCGCTAGAGGGCACTCTAGGCTTGTGTATCAGTATCTGCTACTGTAATTTGTACTTTTTTTCATCCTTTGGCTGGTGCGACTTATAGTCCGGAAAATACGGTAATTGCTAAAGCCCAGTTTATGTATACTGTATTAACTAGGTGAAAAGAGCAATAAAATAATTTCATTATTTAAACCACATATTTTCTTACACTGGGAAAAAAAAATTCAATTAGCTTTCAGCTAATATTTCACTTGGTGTTGGTGCTGTCAGCATTATAACAATGTCTTTTTCAACAAGGTGGCTCAGCTAAAGGTCCGTCAGATGCTTGTCTGACTCCCAGAGATGGACAGAAGGATGAAAAAGAAGAAGAAGCAACAGCAGCTCCAGAGGCAGAGAGTGAGAAGCCGCAAACCCCTGGATTCACAGTTATGGCTAGTTTTGAAAACAAACCTGTCCAAAAGGTAAAATGGCGCACGCTTCAACAGGAGTCACTTTTTAAACTTATTATGTGCCATACGTATTTATATTATCATTATATGTCTGCCTTTTCCTTGCAATACCCATATTTCCCCAATAGATGGCGGAGAAAATGATGAAAGCATTTTTAGCATTTTTGCTAATTTACGTCATTTATCCTAGTTCACACAACGCTCCATCATATATGTGTGTGTTTATTTATATGTATATGTACTGTATACGAATGTATGTATAAACACATATACACACATAAATATATATACATATACTGTATATAAACATATTGATATATATGTGTATATATACATATATGAATATATATGTATATAAACATACATTGATATATGTGTATATATACATATATATTCATATATATGTATATAAACATATATATTGATATATACTGTACATATATTCTCTTTTTCTTTTCTCCGTATTGACAGGTTCACCGAGTCCTTCCTCAATGGCTCGCTCAGCCTGACGTCTTTCAAAGGGAGATTAAAAACAACCTAGTTCCAGTCTCTGACATCCGAGGACTCTGCGCACCAATAGTGCAAAAGCTACATAATAATGGAATTGACCACTTTTTTCCAGGTAATGACTGCGGATACTTGGAAGTTTTTTTCCTTTGGCTAACTTATCTCGGATTTTGCTTTCTATATTTCACACTTTGTAGTTAACTTAACTGCAAACTAATTTGTTTGTTTTATTTATTTAAATAAATATTACATATATTTAATGTAATATATAAAATTTTATATTTAACCATTTATATATACCATATAATATACAATATTATATATTTTATATAATATATAGATATAATATAATATAAATATACAAATATATTTAATATATTTAATAAAATAAATATTACATATTTATGTAAATACATTTATTTATTTAATCAATAAATAAATCGAACTAATAATTAAATTCATTCAGAATGTCCTGCATGTAGTAGACGAACGCCTGTGTATCTGCATTGACCCAGCATTGACAAAAGTGTGACCTTTGGGGCCCCAAAATAATCAATTTTGACCCCAAAGGTCACACTTGTTACACTACAATTTAAACCCGCCCGTGTCGTACACCGTATCATAAATCCCGATTGCTTGTTGCAATGTTTTCCACAGTGCAAGCAGAGGTGATCCCCGCCATCTTGGAAAACATGCAGAATGGGCTGCTGATTGGACGTGGTGGCTACAAACCCAGGGATCTGTGTGTGTCTGCCCCTACAGGCAGTGGCAAGACTTTAGCTTTTGTCCTACCCATTATACAAGTAAGGCTTCTTCTCATAACACAGTGGTTAGCAGTAAGGGGACCTGCGGGCCAGTTCTGACATGACATCAAATATATTTGACCCACCATATTACGTTGAGAATCTAATTGTTTTATATTCATATAATATATATTTAAATATATATATATATATATATATATATTGTACTATTATAATTCTGTGCATATAAATAATTCTGTAAGGAGTGTCTATGACTGCATTGTCTGGATACAATTTTTTAAAATTAACTATTTTTGGAGTTAACCCCTTCATTAACATATACACTAGGGCTTCGAGATACAGGTTAGCTGAAATACGAGTTTTCCAAGTTACGAGTAAGCAACTTTTGTGATACGAGGAAACGCCGAGTGTTTAACCCAAACTCTCTCTCTTTCTCTATCATCTATATCGAGTCCCCACTCCCAGTCCTTCTCCTATTTTAGTGGCCCCGACACTCCGTTGCGCTCGCTCACTGTCCCTCGCTGGGTTATTTCACCCATTTTTATAACAATAATATAAAACGTTTTCTTAATGATTATTATTTTTATATTATCAATATGTTTGTTTATATCTATGTTTTTGACGTTTACATGGGAGAATATCTATGTTTTTGATGTTTACATGGGAGAATTTTAAATTAATTAATAGTATATTTCTGGAGGGGGCTTCTTTTTAATGGGGAATATGCAATTGAGATACCTCACATTTAATTCACTTAATTTTCTTACACTTAGTCTAGTTTTGTCCCACATCATGTACTCCTATTAAAACTATTTTCTAAACTTTTTTGTATTTTCAGTCTCACAAAATACAGTTCCAAATGTTTCTCACTTGGGAAAAACTTTTTTTGCTCCTCTAGCTGCTAATGGAGCGCGTGGTGTGTGAAGTACGGGCTCTGGCCGTGTTGCCGACAAAGGAGCTTGCTCAGCAGGTGAGAACATTTCTAATAAATAAAAAAGGTTTTGTTTTAGGTAAACTCGTTGAGGAAAAAAAAAAGGCCTGGAATATTTTTTTTCAAATTTTCAGGTTTTCAAGGTGTTCACGTCCTATGCAGAAGGAACCCCTCTGAAAGTCGTGATGGTGGCAGGTCAGAAGTCATTCGCTGCCGAACAGGCCTCGCTTTCAGAAATGAGGTGATTTCAGGCCACTTAAACCTGTGTCCTGTACGACGTCTCTTTAGTGATATGGACTTCTATATGTGTAGAGTATCAGTAACCAATCAAAATGCTTCGTTAGTTACTACAGTGTCCGAGAGAGATTATTTAAATGATAACTAAAGTCATTACCCATGGCAAAATATAACAGGTCAAATATGGATTAAAAAGTAAAAATTGACAAAATGCTAAAATTGACCTGAAATTGCCTAGATGACAGTCACAGTTTAACTACAGGTCAGGTTAGAATTATTAAACCGTAGATTATTTAGGAAATGTAAAAAAAAACAGTGGAACCTTGAGATACGAGCGTCCCGACGTACGAGTATTCCGATATACGGGCAAGCCTTTGAGCAAATTTTTGCTTTGAGATACGAGTAAAGATTGGAGATACGAGCGCGCTTACCGACACCGAAGCTAGGCGGCCGAGCACTCGGAGCAGCCTATGCCACAGCGCGTTCGCCGATTTCCGTACGCATCTCGCACGAGTCTTCCGTGTTGTTTGCATTATCTACACGATTTTCTCTCTATTTGGTGCGTTATTCTTCATATTAGTGACGAGTCCTAAGAGAGTGAGTGGTAAGGATGGTTGTGAGAAGAAGAAACGCACGATGACCATGGAAATAAAGCATAAAATTGTCGATAAATATGAGCGTGGCGCCTGCTAAAGAAAGAATACAAATCGAGAAAAGCAAAAAAAAAAAACAGAAAAGTAGGAAAAAAATACGCAAGTTAATTCGAAGTTTATGTAAGTTACGTAGTGTACATGTAAGGTACGGTACGTGATCAACTCTCTTCCCTCCCTCTGCGCATCCCGCCATTAGCCTCTACTGTATCGTCTGTCTCGAAGGTAAGAACTCATTATTAAAACCACATTTTATTTTATATCATTGGAATCCTTATATACTATCATTTTTTGCGTCTCTATAGCAATTGAAACATGTTTTTTCCATTGTTATTAGCACTAATAAAGGAGTTTTTTTAGAGGGCCGGAACGGATACATTTTTTTTTTTGTTATTTCTTATGGGGAAAAAAATGATTCAAGATACGAGCACCTCAATTACGAGAACGGATTATGCGCATATCTCGAGGTTCCACTGTAATCACAAACGAATCAAAAATATATTGGCCCAAAAAATATTTTTTATGAGCTCACAGTTTCTGACTTGGGAAAATCTGACTTGCCTTCTGTGATTCTCTAAATTTACTTTTCATCTTACTGTGGTTATTTTTGCAGAGGCAATAAAAGACGCAGCTTGGCAGACATTGTTGTGTCCACTCCTGGACGACTGGTTGATCACATTAACAAAAACTCGGGCTTTAGCTTAGAAAACCTTGTGTTTCTGGTAAGTTCTTGATCTGCACCTCAAACCAACCACTTCGCTATAACGGCAGATACCGTTGTGATCTCACCACTTGGCCTCTTGTCCCTAATTCTTCATCCACGCCAGGTGATTGACGAGGCTGACAAGATGATTGACAGGATGCATCAGTCTTGGCTCAGACAGGTGGTGAAAGCGGTGTACAAAACGAAAAGTGACACGAGAAACATATCCACTTTCGCGAGGACTGAAGATGTCTTCGTAACCGCAGCGAGGTGAGTTCAAGTGACTGGGAATGAAGATTCAGCAGTACCGTATTTTCCAGACTATAGGTCGGACTTTTTTTTTTTGTCATCCTTTGGCTGGGTTTGCGACTTATATAATAATTCACATGTTCATTATTTTTACACTGGCAGCCGCTAGAGGGCACTCTAGGCCCAGTGCTACTGCCCAGTGCTACTCCTGCACCCCTGAAAATGCACATGTTGGTTATTTTCACACTGATAGCCCCTAGAGGGCACTGGTGCGACTTATACTCCGGAGTGACCTTCTCCTCATGCTCCTTCTGCTGCTTCTTCTTCTTCTCTTCCTTCTTCTTCTTCCTTCTTCTTCCTTCTTCTTCCTTCTTCTTCTTCTTCCTCCTCCTTCTTCTTCTTCCTCCTTCTTCTTCTTCTTCTTCTTCTTCTTCTTCTTCTTTATGCATTTTTTTTGATTGGTGAGATCTATACTCCGGAACGACTTATAGTCTGGAAAATACGGTAATCACTGTTTTTTCTGTGTTGAAATTTTAACCTAAAAAAAATCCTATGAGCCTTGCTGTTCATTAAACACGCTTTCGTAAAACCTCACTGTAAGACATGGTTATGGTTCTAGTTCTAGCTCCAGTTCAGTTCTGGAGTCCGAGACCCTTGGTGCTTTCTGACAAACCATTTTAAACCTACCTTCTTCTCATGCTTTTTTATTTTTGTTTTTCCCCAGTCTCTCTCCACCTCAGATACCCTTACAGAAGCTGTTGTTCTCTGCCACACTTACTCAAAACCCGGAGAAGCTACAACAGCTAGGCCTGCACCAGCCCAGGCTCTTCACCTCCACTCGTAATCACTCGGCACACGTCTGCAACCAAGACAGCTTTGACTTTCCCCAAGGTCTGACGGTAAGAGAAGACCGATGACTCCCAAGAATCAACAAAAGGCCAATGCCATCTCTTAAACTTGAACGATTCCTTTGACGAAATTTAGAGACCTAGCTAACGCGAAAGACTCAAAAGATCTCTGAGCAATGGAAAAGTCTTTTTAAAGAAATGCCAACTTGCCCACGTCCCTAATTAAAAGTAGGGAGGTCCGATATTAACTTTCCGCCAATATCCGATACGCCGATATTCTCCAAACACTTCCCGAATTCCCGAATCGGATATCAATCGATACCGATATTTGTAGGTCACATCACATATCTCCTGTTGTGGAATCAACACGTTACCTACTTGTATTGAGATGCCCCACCAATTAGCATTGTCTGTACAAACTAGCGATTTCATTTTTTTGACGAAACCCAGGGATTGCGTTATTGGGTTTTCATTATCGGAACGGCGTGTATCGTTACAACCTTATCACTGCAATCGACATTAACGACCTTGATAGAAACGCGAGGACAACGTTGTAACTATAACATCTGTGTTTTCAGGAGTTCTACGTACCCTGCACATTAAGCAAAAAGCCACTGATCCTTCTTCACTTCATCCTAAGACTGAAGCTTAGCCCCATCCTCTGTTTCACCAACTCTAGGGAGACGGCACACAGGTAGGAGTATGCTGTTAAATCAGAGGGAAAAAAAACAAACAAAAAAAATGTAAAAATGTATCTGTGGCCTTTACATTTCCCCATCTATCTTTCAGACTTTTCCTTCTGGTTCAGTTGTTCGGTGGAGTACAGGCTGCTGAGTTTTCCTCTCGTTTGTCTCCTGCCGAGAGAAAACACAAGCTGAAAGAGTTTGAACAAGGCAAGATCCAACTGTGAGTATGCACACCGACAACTGGGTCTTTCTGAAATTCCAGTTTTGAAAAAATAAATAAATTTAAATGTATGCGGGTATCAAAAAAGAAATTCCTGTACCTTTTCCTTACTGATAATCGATGTGTGCTTGTTTTATCTTAAAGACTGATAAGCACAGATGCATCAGCCAGAGGCATCGACATCAATCAAGTCAAATGCGTTGTGAATTACGACGCACCGCAATACATCAGGACGTACATTCACAGGTGAGCTCCCGAACACCGTCTGTAAAACCAAAAACCTTGCTGAACTCTGTGTGATGCTCCAAAATGACTAGAAATACTGTATTTTCCGGACTATACGTTGCACTTTATTTCATCCTGTAGCTGGGTTTGTGACTTCAGGTGCGACTTATATATATATTTAAACATATATATATACACATATACATATATATATACACATATACATATATATATACACATATACATATATATATATACATATACATACATATATATATATACATATACATACATATATATATACACATATGTATATATATGAATATATATACATATACATACATATATATATACACATATGTATATATATGAATATATATACATATACATACATATATATATATACATATATGTATATATATTCATATATATACATATGTGTATATATATATGTATATATGTGTATATATATATGTATGTATATGTATATATATTCATATATATACATATGTGTATATATATATGTTTAAATATATATATAAGTCGCACCTGAAATCACAAACCCAGCTACAGGATGAAATAAAGTGCAACGTATAGTCCGGAAAATACCGTAATTTAAAAACAAAAAATTGTCTATTTTGAAGGTACTTTAAATGTAGTGCTTTGGAAAGTACTTCTCTGCATTAACGGACATGCTCTTTGTTCTGCTTTCTTTTCTGTTAAGGATTGGAAGAACGGCGAGAGCAGGAAAAGCGGGCCTGGCATTCACCTTTTTACTTGGAGTACAGGTCAAACAATATAACCTCTGATAGATTTGTCTGAATGTATAAAAAATTAGAATTAAGACTTCTCCTTTAAAACAAAACAATATTTTTTTTTTTTTTTTTTATCACGCAGGAGAAGAATTTCCTTCAAATGGTGACGAATGCAGGAAGCCCCGGGATACAGAAACAGATTATAAAGCCTGAGAACCTCAAGAGTATGGAAGCCCGATATGAAGAAATACTGCAAGAGTTGGCTAAGATGATAAAGGTATGAGCAGCATGATATGCACATAGATACATATACATATATATTTATATGTATATATTTATAAATACGTGGCGCTTTGTCCCAGAGGCAGTGTCTCTGTCATTGGTGTGTAACCCCAGGGTTCACCTCCTGGGCAAGTTCGATTCCCGGTTAGGGAGGTTGGTACCTTCCAGTGGACTCACCACACGCAGGAAGGTTCAGGGGGGGTAGGTGCGGTGCAGTGTGATTTGGGTGGCGGTCATGGAGACTGCTGACCTCGTGACCCGGTAACGGATAAGTGGATGAAAATGGATGGGATGGATGGATATTTATAAATATACAGTATGTGTATATATATGTATGTATATATGTATGTATATATGTGTATGTATATATGTGTATATATATATATATGTAAATATGTATGTATATATGTATACATATATGTATGTATATATGTATATATGTATACATATATATGTATGTATATATGTGTAATATGTATACGTATGTATATATACATATGTATGTATGTATGTATGTATATATGTATACATATATGTATGTGTATATATATGTATATATGTATACATATATATGTATGTGTATATATATGTATACATGTATATATATGTATACAGACCCTATTCAAAAAAATTAGAATATCATGGAAAAGTTTATTTATTTCCATAATTCTCCACATTATTCTAATTTTTGAATTCCTGTTTTCGTTGGTTTAATGAGCTGGAAGCCCAAATTATGTAAAAACAACAAACAAATACTTGAAAAAATATAATCTATGAACGTTTAACTTTTTGAATGGAATTATGGAAATAAATAAACTTTTCCATTAAGGAATTACGGGGTCTGTATATACTTACACATATATGTACAGTATATACATATATGGGTGTATATATATATATATATATACATACATATATGTATACATATACATACATATATATACATACATATATATATATATATATATATATATATATATATATATACATTGACAGCTGGGATTGGCTCCGGTGACCCCACGGGGAAAAGCGCTTTATAAAGAAATATGTGAATATATAAAGAGAATAGTCTTTATTGTCATTGTAACATGGAAGGATATATAGAACAACCTAATGACGTATAGTTATGGGATTGATTCCAGTGTCTGTAGGTTTTTGTAAATAAGCCAAATGTACATATAATGTGTATAAAGGTAACAGTGAAAACAATATGTAAAGTGTAGAATATGTGAGTGAGCAAATGTGGGCAGATAGTCTACAATGTAAAGCTCTTTTAAGTTTCATGTTTTAAATTTATTCTAGTCATTGCATTGCACTCCATCGCATTTTTTTTGGAAAGGTGATGGCTTCATTACCTTTTGTCTTTTTCTCTACGCAGAGTGAAAAAGTCTACTGATGGACCCAACATCATCTTCCCGGGAATCTGCTTGTCTGAAGGACAAAACTGTACATGGGTACAGTGAGGGGCCACAGTGTAAAGGACAAAAACAACTCAAGCCCCCCCCCCACTGACTGGTTATTGTGCCGGTGGTGACCCATTATTACATCGCACCACAGAATATTTGGCGCTAACTCGCTGTATTCACTGTATGTAGCTCATCTATTAGCTCAAAATTCAACCTTAACAGAAGTACACACGTACTCACACATACATATATAATTGTGTTATATGACACATGTCTGTGTACATGTGTATGTACAGTAATGTGTTTTTTGTATGACTGTACATTTATATACATTTTATATATTTTATACACATATGCAAATATCTGTGTATATTGATCTAGAATGATCAATACATTATAATCTAAAATGAATGGGAAAATTAAATGTGGCTCATTCATACATTATTCATCTGAAATTAAATACTATTATTGTACATAGTCAAAGTCTTTAAATATGTCCATTCCATCTGTTTTCCTGATGTGTTAATTACAACCGTCATTTATAGCAGTGTTTCCCAAACTTTTTTTCTGGGGAACCATATTTTAAATATTCACAAACGTTCGCGATCCAAGTCAGAAGACATTATTCGTAAACTCCTGGGAAACACGATGCGAGACGACCACCTGAGGGTCACGACCCAGTCTTTGGGAAACAATGATTTATAGCAGTTGTCCATGCGAATAAACACTAGGAAAAAAAAAACGTAATTGTCAAACAATAAACATACAGTATATGTAGAATTACTAGAACTGGAGTTTGTAATGTGGGTTTGTAGGTCTTTTCATTTTATTTTACAACTCTACCATCTCATTAGAAAATTTTTTTTTTTCAACTTTCACCATGCAGTTCTCACATGTCAATAAACGTCAATGATGGGAATTTATGTGAATGAACAAACAAAAAATCCTTTTTATTTATACGCTAATCTGAAAAAAATGTGGACAGCATCCCAGGGCGTAGACTGCTTTAGTCCAGTACTTCTCAAATAGTGGGCCGGGCCCCTCTTGGGGGGGGGTGGGGGGGGGGCTTCCAATTGCATATGGGACGCTGGACAAGTGAAGTGTACCACTGCCGTAATCCTTGAACGATAACAAGCCTCCAGTCACTAGGTGGCAGCAGCACATACAGTGGTTTGTACACTGTGTGAGGGGGTGTGTGAAAACATTTCTGTCCTCAAGGAGGGGGGTTCGGGGGGGGGGCGGCAATACAGATAATTAGTCCCACTTGGAGCTCTTCCGTCTCGTGTACCTCTCTCCTTCACTGTCGATAGCTTCATACAGCTGCTCACCGTTCTCCTTGACCGCATGCAGATAGCCCAGGTAGCCTACACACAACGTGATCGTCACCAGCCCAAAGATCATCACCGGTTTATTCTGTAAAACATCGCCATTCAATGTTATAGTCGTGATTATAGGTGTATCTTATTCTTTTACATTTTCTAACATAAGCATAGTGCTGTCACATTTCGAAAAATTAGCAAAGCAACAAAGCTAAACACAAGTAAATGGGCGTACGAAGACAACCTAGCATGTTACGTCATTTTTAGTGTCGAACTCAAACACACAGTGGGGCAAAATTAAAAACTGGGACGAAGATGTTTCTTACAAATTTGACGGCAGTTATGCATGTTTTCCCCCTTCTTTCCAGATCTGTAATGTTGAATCTTTAAACTTTAGCTTTGCGTTAAAATTGAATCTAGAACAACCAAAAATTTGAAATAAAACACATGTAGTATTTGTTTCTTATTATGTCTCTTCATCTGTAGCTTTTTGAGTTCCTTTTTAATGTACATCCTTTTTCCCTGGGACAACAACAACAAGCCAACAAAATGTATGTGCTTTAACCTAGCGCATGCACCGCTAATATTACAAATCCTGCCAGTATATGAACATGAAGTGTTTGTGTATTTTTTTTATATTTTCAAAATTCATCAACCGGACCGGATCGATTACCCAAGCGGGTCTAGTGTGGCCCGCAAGCTGTATGTTGGACACTCTTTGTCTAATTCCTACTTCAATAAGAAAAATGTTGGATGAGGGTGACTTATGGTAACCAGCATGTTTTGCCAAAACTTGGCTAATATATACCATAATATATATAAATTAGATCCTTGTTTTAACATTTGAGTATTTTTGAATGAAATTTTTTACTTTGGAAAAACTTCTGTTGTCTGATAAATTGTGAGTTGTCCCAATTTTGGGGTTTTCTGTTTAAATCATTGTCATCGCTGTTAAAAAAAACCAAAACGTTTTCCTGATCCTGTTTGGTCCACAACTTAGAATAAAAGATTTCGAGGACTTCAAAATACAAGGAACAAATAAAAGATTTCGAGGACTTCAAAATAACCTGCAGCACATCGAAAACTCAAGATGACACAAGGAACGTAAAAATCGTGATATACGACTAGCTTGTGTGTGTCCTCTGGAAAATGTCTTTTATTTACTTTTAGGGTAAACAACTCGTACTTAAATACGTAAACACAATGACCCGCACGACCTTTTTTTTAGTCCTAACCTAGAAATATACCCACAGGTTTTATGAAGAGTTCTGGATTTACAGCTCGGAAGAGTGTTGTGGTTTGTACTCCTCTCAGTCCGGGTGTTCTGTAGCCCTTTTCGGGGGCTCCCTTCTGCCCTTTAGCGGCATCGTTCTCCGACATTTCTGTCCAAAATCCTGGAAGTTAGATGGGGACGTACAGTATACTGAGACAGCGTTCACTCCCTTTACCCCGGCAACTAAAGGGAAATAAGGGGACGATAGCGGAGGACATTGATAGATAAACAGTCACAGCGCCATCACTGGCCTGGAAGATAACTGCTTGGCAGACGTTATTTTTAAATGACGAGGAAACCTATAATGATAATAAGACTACTACTACTACTAAAAGAAAAAGCAAATAAATAATTGTCAGTATACATTAAATGAACAAGCATTAAAATACCCAGACAAACAATAACAAATGAATGGGCAATTAAAGAATATAAACATTAGATAGACATTATTCACAAATAAAATCAACAAATATTATTTAATTTGTTGATACATTTCAAAGACTTATAAAAGAGTTTTTATACAGATATGACATAGGCTTTTCCTGTGTTTTCTGTTTTTTCCTTTAAATGTCATTAAACATTCATGTGGTCTGATGGAGGGAAACACTGGGCAACTGAAACCGGAGAAAGTTGTTTTTTTAGAGATTCATATATTAAACGTTGCGGATACTTTGTAAACTAGTGGGAAGTATGAAGTTCCATGGTGGTACTCAGAGAGTTTTCTCAGGTGGTACAGAGTAGAAAAAGTTTGAGAACCACTGGCCTGGATGTTTGCAATGCCCAGTAAAGTGGAAACGGCCATACATCTCTCTGTTGTTCAAAACTTTCAAATGCAGCTGTCAACTCTTAACTAGAATTCAAAGGCAAGAACATTTTATTAATCCCCCTCACCCAATCCCCCAAAATGTCCAGTGAGTTCCTTTCACTGGAACTAAGGGGCCAAGCCCAGCTCCTGAAACCACCACCCCCCCTCCACCAAACCTTACACAATGCAGTCATAAAAGTACCGTTCTCTTGGCAACCGTCAAACCCAAACCTAGCATGATTCGTCATTCCAGAAAACGCTTCACACCACTGCATCCAACGCTTTGCATTGCACTATTCTTGAGCTAATCTGAAGGCCACATGAAGTTTGGAGATCTGTAGCAATCGACTCTGCAGAAAGTTGGCGACCTCTTCGCCACCTCGTGGCTGAGTCGCTGTCTTTCCCCAAACACTCCCATGTTCTTATAATACAGCTGACAGTTGACATATCAGGAGCGATATATTGGGATATTTAGGAGCGAGGAAGTTTCACGATTGGATTACTTGAGAGAATACTTTTGGCAATATAGTGGTATATGGGCTAAATCGTTTCACCCCGAAGCTTATTCAAAACCTGCAGAATATTAAGAATGGCCATGCAATAAATCATAAATTTAAACGTCTTCCATTTGTTAATCAAACTAACAACATTTTTCTCTATGTGTTTCAGTTCATTTGAATCAAAAAACAATGTTGCCCTTTTCCAGACTATTTGAGTATTTTCTGGACAGTTCATAACCACCAAATATTGCGATAGTAAGAGACCATGTGCCCTTTCCCCCGACCGCTAATTCACTTCTCAGAAACCTATTGAAACGTTTGAAGGGCAATAATATCAATTATTTAGTATCACTTATTTTACATAAACTCACATTTTATCTTTATGGTCATACCAATGGTCCAACCAACTGGTCACTAAACGTCTGGTCACTAAAAATGTCAATCTTTTATATGTTGCCTAGTTTATCTTTTTTTTTTTATTATTTCATTTTCAGGTTTAAAATTCAACCCCGGCTGGTAATTGGTCTTCTGAAAAGTGACTTTTGGTCATTAGAGCGTAATTCATTCATTCATCAAACGATAGTTTACATTGGTTAAAAATCAGTTTAATAGCAAAACTGCTAGAGGCAGTGGGTAATTTGAAGTTATTTACATATTGCACAGTAATGTTCAACTATCAATCACAAACTACACACAGACTACTTCTCTCGAGGTATTCATATACCTGTTAACACAATGGCACCATAAATAACATGAATTCATGTATATATAAAAAAATAAATTTTTGTATATATATATATAAATAAAAAAAAAAAAAAAAAAAAAACAAAAACAAAAAAAACAGTGGTACAGGTGTTGTAGAATCATTTCGAAATATGTCATACGTAGGGCACCAATGTGCAGCATGTAATTCATAAAATGTCTCTAAATTTAACTTATATTAGAACAAAGGGATTTCTAGAATTTCTTCCCAACACCACAGTGGGATGCATGCCCTGCAGTTGTTTCAACATCAAGTCGGAAACACTTGAAAACGCAGCATCTATATTTATTTTAACCTGACTGAGGGATTTCAAATTCTGATGGTTCCTGAATCTTACGGTAACGTCTTTTGCTTTGAGACTGGATTGCGTACTCGTCGCGGACAGATCCGCCTTCTTTGTGCTCGCCTTTTCCGATTGACTTGACTGTTCCAGAAATTGTAAGAAAGACATTTCAAATCCCATGGGTTTGAAGGAGGCCATCGGAGCACTTTGCTCGGCCTTCTCTTCCGCAAACAGGGTAGAGTGGCAGAAGTCAGACCCGTTGTACGCCAGGTCGATCTTAGGCGAGTGGGGAATTTTCTTGTGTTTCCGGGGACGTCCCCGTTTGCGTTTTATCACAACGGAGCCGTCGGAGCTTTCATCAACGCACAGTTTGCTATCAAACAACGTTGCAGGGATGTCTCTGGAAGCCCTTTTCCGCAGGACAGTCTTGGAACGCCTATATTCCCCGGCTTCCATGCCAGAGTCTCCTGACTCCTCGTTGTTTGAAATGTCCGATGCATTTTCTGATTTGGAATCCTCATACCTGATCGACTGTGCCTTTTGCCTTGGAAACTTTTTGCAGAATATGAAGTGGCTTCGTTGAAGTTCCAAGTACTTTTCAGATAGTCCGTGCCCCATGTAATGTTTCATTATGCTCCTCTCCGACTTCATGACAGATTCGCATCCTTTGATCATACAGGGATACTGTAGATGAAACGTCTTGGTGCACATTGCAATCGCTTCTCCTTTAGTTTTCAACGAGGGCTTTCCATACTGCGTCCAGTGATTGCGCTTCGAATGGCTTGCCCTCTTTGCGAGTTTTTCACTTTCAAGAATCTTTTTATTGCTCTCAATATTTTCTTTCCCGTTACTGATCTTTGTTATTTGGTAATGTAAACCTTTCGGGCTTTGTTTATTTTTGACTTCAGGTTCATACAGCTCCTTGTGTATTTTCATGGCATGTCTCAGGAGGTTTGACTTTGTTGCATAGGAACGATCGCAGCCCTCAATTTCACATTTGAATAAGCAGCTCAACTGTTCAGATCTGACCAAGTTTAAATCGATATGCTGTTCTTTGATGTGCGTGATGTACGTCCAGGACCCTATGAAAGATGCGGTGCATCCCTGGTGGCCGCAGGTAAACTTGCCAAGTTTGGTGCTTGACAAGAGTCTGCCTCCCTTATCAAGGGTGAATTCATGGAGATGAAGATAATGTTTCAAAAGTTGCTGAACCTCTTGGAAAACTCCGGAGCAGTCTTTAACTTGGCACCTGAACTCGGTCATTTCAGCCGTGTCCACCTCCGGCTCCTCCTCGTGCTTAGGTGCGTCATCCAGTTCCTCACACTGGTTCTTCTCTTTGTTTACTTCCAGTGATGACAGAGCAGCTTGATGAACAGCCCTGTAATGGAGTATCAGGTTATGCTGGACAGCGAAAGCTGCCACACAGCCTTGATGAACGCAGCGGTAGGGTCTGTATGGACTAAGAGGAGCTGCGTTGGTCTTCCTCTCTTTCGTTTTCTTGGGAGCGTCTGTGCTAGGCTTAGCCTCTAGGCTCGTCCCTATATTTACGGCATTGACGTCATCAGACCCTGGAGGTTGCCTAGATGTCGGAGTTTGCGCTAGCATAATTGGGTGTTGCTTGTTCATTGGAGATGTTTGTAAGGGGTTCGAAACCGTGCAACAATTGTCACCTCCATTTGCTTCTGTAGTTGCAGCCGTGTTAGCATTTGGCAACAGTGACTGAGAACAGCTGTTATGTAACACTGCATCCTGTTGTAAACCAGTTGCTGCCAGCGCTGGATTGCAATCCACTGGTGCTTGGTCGGTATTAATGGGCCACTTCGGATTGTGAGCAGGCGGAGTTGCTTTGGTTTGCCTGCGTTTCATGTCCAGATCTGCAATTTCTTGAGAAGTTAATTTGTGAGCGGACTGGTAGTGAGCTCTAAGATTGGAGTTCCGGGTGAAATTTTTAACGCAATGCTGGCATTTGTAGGGAGCGTAGAGTCCGTATCTTTTCTTAACCACATTTACCATTTCGTGTGTGTAGCTGTGAGACTTGGACAGATGTCTCCAAAGTGACTCACTTGAAAACGAGCTAAAGGGGCAGGTAACGTTTTCACACCTAAATGGCATGACGGTAGGCGAACTAACCTTGTCAAGTACTGACTGGCTGGTTATTGTGGTATTCTTTGGTGCCACATCTTCAGATATTTCCTGGAGCAAATTTAACTTTTGAAATGCACCCTGAATTTCTGCCATCCACAGTTGCTGTATGGCAGACAGAGGAGTGGGCTCACAGTCAAGATCAATTAAAGCACTTGTTGAAGGTCCATGTTCATCCCTCTCTGGGGCGGATGGCTCCCGGAAACCCTCAAAGCTAACTGCATTCTGTTGCTGAATTTCATTAGGACTTCCTTGCATATCTTGTCCATGTCTTGCGAGTTCCTTTTTTGCATCTGAAGTCATTTGACCATATTTAGAAGCAACGGGAGTAGTGCACATTTGACCAAAAGAAACAGGTTCACTGAAATTAATGATGGGATCTGCGTTGCTCTGATCACACGAATTGTTTCTACGTTGAAAGTCCCCGGACAGAATTTGCTCCCTCAGCCTTTTTTTGACGTCTTGGTCAGAAGTAATTCTTTGGATCTTAGCCTGCTTCTCATTTACAGACACTGGACTGAGACGACCAACTGGTAACAGAGGCTGATTTTCTGGGTTTAAATCAGGTGTACGGGTCGGCATTGCAGAGAAACCTCTACTGTGAACTGTTCCAGGATTAAAATGGCTTGTAAAAATATTGCCAAGAACCGCAGAGGAAGACTTTTCCATTGGGATTAGAGACAGAGATGGTTCAGGGAAATCGCATCCAGTGTATGTATCAATGTTTGACTCGGAATAATGTGCTGCATTATACGAGTTGTCTTGTACCCCTCCATTCCTATCCAGCTGGACAGATTCTGTATGCTGTATAACCGAGCTACTGGGCAGACGCTCATTTGCGGCAAAGGGGACACAAGTGTTCGGAAACAAAGACCTGGGATTAGGTGTTTGCAAAAAGAGTTCTGATGCCGTTTGTTTAAAAATGGTTCCATTCGACTTATTTTGTAGGTAACTGGGTTCAGTTTTTACCGTCTTAAGCAGGCTTTCTTGACCCAAAAGGCCAGGACTCAAAATCGTTTGCTTTGAATGAGGGCCAAAACCTGATGCAGTCTGAGCTGTGATGAAATTATGCTCATTATTGGGTTTACAGGTCAGACGCTTGGACAAGTGGCCTCCAAGGGATTTAGAACTATTGAACTCTCTAAAACACCTACGACAAACAAATTTGCCATCCTTAATTATAGCTGGCCATTTGGATTTTGAGCTTCTTTTGGCTTGTGGCCGTGGTCCAAAAGGAGCGTCATTAACTACTAATCCATTTAAAGCTCGGTTTGAGTTGATTACTTGGCCTGCATGGTCTGAAAAGTGAGGAGAGGACTTTTCTGGTACTACGGAACCTGCAACTAATTCACTTCCCATCTGTGATGTTAATGTGGAAAACGTTTTTTGCAGTTTTTGGGATGTCTCCTTTTCACCATCCACGCACAAAGGGAACGCCAGACTATTTTCCATTTGGGGTGGGCCCAAGGACTCAGGTGGTCTGCTAAGCAGTGACGCTGTCATTACACTTGAGTAATTGACCGGAAGAACCGCACTAACAGAACCATCATTTGTCTGCTGAGAAGAACTGACTTGGTAATAGCCACTGTTATCTGTTTGTTTGTTTTGGTGAACTGCATGCAAATTTCGACTGCACGGAACTTGAGAATGAGTACTGATATTTGAACCACTTCCAAGCTGAGCCAGAACAATGGGATTTATCACATCTTCCATTAAGAGTGAAGTACTCTGGTTTTGAACAGATGACGACTGCAAATACCCACTGGCATGATTTGAGTTCTTGCTCATGTTGTTATAAGGGGATTGTATGACATTCTGCCTTTGAGCTTCATGAAGCGGTACACTGCTGTCCTGCGGATACTGAAGTGAGGTAGCTGAATTGAGGCGTCTGTCAGATGGACAGGGCGCTGAAGTGCAACTTATTCTTATTTTAGAAGGATTCAATTTCCACTGCTCGTAGAAATCGGGGTGGGTAGTTCTCATGTGTTTGGTTACACTCTTATAGGTGCTATAGTGCTTAGTGCACACTGGGGACGCGCAGTGATATCGTTCCCTTTGTCCCGAAAGGGGCACCGCAACTGTTGGGGATGTCATTGAAGTCTCTGGCCTGCTAACAGGATGTAGCTGAGGGGTTACAGTAGAAGCAAGTGGGCCAGGCATTGTTGACTCGAGGCATTTTTGGTGCAGCGATGCAGTTGACGCATTGTTTCTACATGGCGGTCCAATCGCTCCTTGCAACAGGAAGTTGCTGTCGGGGCAGTAATTTATCAATCCAGCACTCGCATTACTTTGGAATAATTGTGGTTGGCCTTGTGAGACGTTTTGTTCAAACGCAGCTATGGAGTGACTTTGTTGATGTGTTGAAAAGTCAACAAAAGAACTTTCCCCACAGTACACGTGGGAATTGGGCTCCTGGATCACAGAAGCACTCAAGTTTTGCGCATGACGGTCTGCGAAAGTGGAATTATTTGAATCACCTGCTGCGTAATGCATTTTGCCGTCCACAGGTTCCTGGGATTGCTTTAACAAACTCTCAAAGGCATTTGGCAAGGTTTCATTATCTGGATTTTGAAAATGTTCAGTCTTCCAATTGTCATCGTAATTTTCCTGCATTTGACTTAAAAGTATTTGTTCAATTAACGTTGGGTTAATACAATCCTGTGGTGTTTTTTCCGTCATTTTGCCGTCATTTTGCTGGTCTTGGCGCACGTCGAGTTGCTGTTGTGCATGTTTAACGAGTGTACTAGCGTCATTTTGCGATGTCACTTCAGAAGACGCATATTCCACTTTTATGCCACGTTCCTGCTCATTATATCCATCCAGCTGCTCGAGTACACGTTCAGACGATTCAGACGGCACTTTCGATGACGAATGTTCAGGAGTTTGAATTTCCGCTGTTTCTTTGTGCTGTGATTGGTGTACATCCATTTGCTGCTGGGAATTAAATACTTGTCCGCAATCCGCGACGTTACAGGTGAATGTTTTATAATGATGTGATTCGTGATCGTATAGTTTGAAAGCCTCACTAAAGATTTTGCCACAGTCAGGAAACATGCACTTAGCCTTAAACTCAGAATGTATTTTTCTGTGTGCAAGGAGCTCAGTATTGGACAAGAAACTAGCATTGCAGTTCAACTGTATACAAATATAAGGTCTTGCACCACAGTGCACCTGTAAATGATCATTCAGATGGTTGACACTGAGAAAATACCGACAGCAATACTGACAAACAACCTTTTTCCTTTGCATTTCGAGAAAAGACTTCGCTTCCCTATCATCTCCGTGGGTTTTAACGTGTGCAAGTAGATTCCTGAAAAACTTAAAGCTTCTTCTGCAATTTCCAACAGGACAAATGTTTTCCTCGATCAACTTCGTGCTGCACCTTTCCAGCCTGACCTTAACTTCCCGACACAGACCTCCGTTTGACCCTAAGAAATTATTATTCGTTTTTCTCACTTCATTTTCAGTCCTGCTCTGAGCATCAGGAACATTAACCAGATTGGCCAGATTCTTTTTTGTTTTCATTACTGACAGCCTTTCCTTGCTGGATTGTTTGACGTGCAACGTAACATGTGGAAGTAAGGTATCCTTTGAGGTAAATGACAAAGCACATATGGGGCAGGTGTAAACGCCGTTAATCACATGAGTCTGCGCGTGGCGGACAATCCTGTGGCCCAGAAACTCTTTGTCACACAGCACACAGTACTGCATGTATGCCTGCCAGTTTCTGAACCTAGCCGATATGAATCCTTTTTCTCGGAGTTTCTTCATCTCTCTGTTCTTCTCTCTTTTGTCCGAAACATCCTTTAAGTCATAAGTGCCACTAGTTAGATGCTCAGTCGTATTCAACCCTTCTGTACTGAAGAGGTCTTCTTCTTCTTCTTCTTCTTCCTCTTCTTCTGGGCTCTCATTGTCATTCAGGTGGTCAATGGACGACACGATTGAAGCCTCTTCACCCATTAATCCCAGACAGTAGCGTTTGAGCGTCTTCCAGTCCCAAAACTCTGGATCAAAAGGCCACAGGTTTTTAAAAGCCAAAAGAAGCTCACAACGTAAAGAGTTGGGAATGGGCCTATTCTCCTCTTCTAATTTTTGATCGGGTTCATTGTAAATCGTCTCCACGGCGTAGTATGAATCCACTGTGGGCTCCAGGAGGAACTCGGTCAGCTGACAAGCTCGCTTGACTTCCAGATCAGAAGGGAGCAAACAAGAAATGGTTTTACACATGGTCGCCTTGGTCTGCGAATCATCCGATTCCATCAGCAGAGCCCGTATGCACATCTCAACACACGCTGGCAGTCCAATCCCGTCAAGCTACAACAGAGGAGAAAACGAGTGAGTCAAACCAGAACACACGATTTGAAAACAGAAAACATAAACAGAATATGTCTGAATATATCTTCTTTTTCATGTTCCTTATCTGATTACCATTAACAAAGATTACCATTATCAAATTGTGCTAGTATTGGTAGATATATACAGAAAACTAAAATTACTTTTTACTGAAATACACTCCGTTAATCTTCATTCCAATTTCTTGTTTCTTGACGTGCATGTCTTTTTACAATACGGTTGGTTTAAAACGCACGTGACAGTAATTCCTTCTTCACTCTAAATCTGCAAACCATGTGGCATTTAGCAACCAGCTAGCTTAAGCATTATAATTTACCTGATCTTGGAATATGCTATAAAAAAATTGCTCAGGTAAATTTATTTTTTTAAAACGTGCGCTAGCTTAAGCATTATAATTTACCTGACCTTGGAATATACTATAAAAAATTGCTTAGGTAATTTTTTTTTTTTTAAACGTGCATTTGATAAAATAAATAAATAAAACAGACTTAAGTAATTGCTAAAGATATACAGTACATGGTTGTTGGTCAGCATGTCAGCAGGCAGATCAACTTCAGATTGTAAGTTGATAGGGCTGGACAATGTGATCTAAAAATGGTATCTCGATATTGTTTTAGTAAGGCTTGATATACGATACATATGTAAATATTTTCACTTATGAAATATTACCAAATGTCACATACTAAAATAAATACCAAATATACTTGCTCGCATCATTATAACTTCCTGTTTCGGCCATGTTGTTTCGATGCTAAAAGTTTTTAAGGCCAAAAACTGAACATTTTCGGCAGCCGAAGATTTGGTGCATCACTAGCTTTTAATGTTCTCCAAGTTACTTTGTAACATTTTTTAAACTTTTTAAAAGATTTCATGTCACCACATGGATGTTTTGGATAACTACTCATCACTTCGAGGCTATTCTACCACTTCTTGAAATGCATCTTTGAACAACCTTTTCTTTCAATGTTAATTTTATAGGGATAATCCCAAAAAAGAGTATATAAGCCTTAAACACTCAAATTTTGGTAATGGTCTCAAATTTGTAAATTTAAATGTAAATAAATACAGTTCCAAATTTGTGACCCCATTACTAAAATTCAAATATTTTTCAAACATGGAGCACTTTCGCAAAGTGTGTGTGTGTGTGCGCGTTTAGCTACCTCTGACTGGACGACTTTGATGAAGAACAGGATGTGGTACACAGATTTTGAAAGTAAGGACATCTGGCGGCATCTGTCAAGGAAACTCTGCTCCGTTGGCTCCAACCGCTTCAACAGCTTGCTCCAAATCAAAGTCAGCTCCCTGGATTAAGAAAAATAACGACACTTGTAATAGGCTACGTTATAACAGTGCGGTGGGAACAGAATTAGGAGTAACTTATTATGAAGAGGACGGCTGGGCATCTGTTGCGTCAAATGCGTTTGACTAGTTTTGGTTCATATAGATATGATTAAGAAAACATTGTTATATTAAAACAAATATTAAAATAATTGTATATGGCTTAAATGGCTCATATGGCTTGAATGTGCTACCAGCTTCTGAATTTTGCATTTGATCAATGATAATTAGTTAATCTTTTACTAAGAATTATTATATATTTTCTGCAATTAAATGCACGTTTAAGTGGAAAAACTCAATATCAAATACAAAGTCATGTAATGCATAGTTTGTTTCTAAAGATACTGCTGCATGACCCGAATAGCAAGTTAGGAAATTTGCAAATACTTTTTAAACATCAATAATTCTTTTAACCAGTAGCAGTATAATATACATTTATGTCATCAAAGGTTTGCATATTTCTGGCCATAGCTCTTCTCTCCTATTGTCTAAACGGGCTAATATATCCGTCTGCAGGGGTGAGTGTTATGACAACATATATTTCAGGCCATTCCCCACCATTTGACTTGTACTGAAACTCACGTTGTCAGTGGAAAAACACTGTAACCTGACCTTGTGTGTGTTTATGCCTATGATGGCAGATGATGCTCATTATCTGTTCTCTGTTTCTTGACCTTGACAATCGCATGCACACTGTCCCTGTTTCTGAGTTTCTGTTAGGCCAGATAATCTCACATTCTTGTACACACACACACAAATGTATCCAGCTCACTATGAATGGAACTTGTACTCGCTTGCAACTCGCACTCTCTCGTACAGACAAGCGTTTGCGTCACTCCCTGTACAGACCTGCGTGCGCCCACAACATAACGACTTTCAATAGATTCTCACAGCGTTCCCTCTCTGTATCGTGGTTCTCATTTCCCGTGGATTTTTTTAAAAACATTTTGATCTTGCGAAATTTTTCGCTATATATCACCAAATGTAGCAAGAAAATAAACTAAAAAACATTTGGCTTAATCACCAAATGTAGCAAGAAAATAAACTACAAAACATTTGGCTTAAAAAAAATGCAAACAACGTGTGCGTACTATTGGCTAATTGAGCATGCTCTTCTGTTCCTCACGCTCATTGGCTCACGCATCGTAGCATCTCCTCTTGTCTGTCGGCCACGCTCGCGTTCACTTTGCTCGGCGTCGCCGTTACACAACTCTACTGTGCATGTACTGTCGGAAAGGGTTCGTAAAGGGATAACATATACGTAATTAATATAATAACTATGTTGGCTCTACTTCACGATTTTTCCCATTTCGCGGTGGGTTTAGGAACGCAACTACCGCGATAGGAGAGGGACCACTGTACTCTTAAAAAACGAACAACGTTAATTTTCTGTTTTCCTATTATTTTATATCAGGGTATGAATTTTGAGATATACGACGTATACTGTGATTTAACTGAAAAATATGCAGGTCATTTATGGACCTTATTGTCCAGCCCTAATTCAATTAACTGCTACTGCGAGATGTAAGTATTTAACAAATGCAATAAATCCGTCACAACTCTTTTATATTCTATACTCTCTTTTGAAGATTTTATGCATTTTAGTCATTGAAATTTCTACCACAAAATGTTAAAATGTACCCATTAAACCCAACATACTGTATAGGCATTGCACTTCTTTTACTGATATACAGCTGTAAGCTTACCAAGCACAGTACATATCGCCTTGAAGAAGTTGTCGGCTCAGGAAAGCTGAACATAAGCTGAAGGCTGCCATCTCGTCACCCTCCGAGTCCAGATTGCAAATCATTTCCAAGGCATCGTGACAGTCCTCCTTCGAAATCTGTTTTAAGTTCACGATTAGAGTGAGTTTGCTTGGAGAAATTATAGTGTAAAAGAATTTAATTCCATCTTTTTTTTTTTTCTTTCTTTCTCACACACACCCTCAACCTACAGGCACTTCTTACCTCTTCAATGAGTTTGTCCTGTGACAAAGTAGTGCACAGGCACACAAGATACATTTGCTTGAAAGGTCCCTTCCCTTCAAAGGCGGCGCACTCAGAGCAGGCCCTGGCCAGCAGTGCAGCCTTTTCCAGTTGCTTCTCCTTCATGAGTTGCTTGACTCTCATCCTTGACAGCGTCACGCCCTCCTGCTCCAGGAACTCTTCGACTAAGAACCCAAACATATATAAATGAGAAATGGGGAAAAAATAAATAAAAAATAAAATAAATAATAAAATAAACAAATAAACTGTCTATAGGATAGACAGTTTAAGAATATATAAATATATATAATTATATATATTATAATAATATATAAATATAGTATAGACTCTATACAGTGATACCTCTCTTATCGCGGTAATTGCGTCCCAAGACCTACTGCGAAAAAAGAAAATCCACAAAGTAGGGGCGAGATTAGACTGTATTACCCTTTCCCACACAATTATATGCACAGTAGAGTTGTATAATGAAAATATAAGACATACATAATACCTAAATAAATTAAATATTACGGAGGTGAGCGCAATTGGAGTAATCCAGTCTCTCCTTATATGACGTAGTAGGAGCCGGGACCAAGGAGAGTAAACAGAGGAGCGCACACTGACCAAGACAGATGGACCATACGGGCACAGCGCAGGAGCGCACTTTATTGTAAAGAAAAATAAAGGCCGTTAAGTGTCATCTGTGTCAGCGTCTTCGTTCGAGCTTCGGAACAGAAACCCAAGAGAAGATGATCAGGGCGTTTAGGGGGCATCGTAGGGCGTTAAATTAGGGTAAAATACCACGATATAGCAATACTTCCACGGTACGCCACGATGTACTGAGGGAGCAAAGGAGACCACGATATAGCAATACTTCCACGGTACGGCACGATGTACTGAGGGAGCAAAGGAGAACCGCGATATGGAGAGGGAACACTGTATATATATAATATGAAATTCAGATCCTCTCAATGACAAAACTCTTGTCACTCGCTTGAAATATTTATTATAACATACTCACCAAGTTGCATTTGTGTATTTTCATTGGAAAGAAGACTTTGCAGGATGCTGTTGTTCCAAACTCCATCGTACTGAACCAAAGTAGCTATTGGAGACAGCTGGTTGAGTCCATTCTCCTGTAGGGTACTGTGAACAAACTATTCACAAAAATAATAAAAAAGAAAAAAAACAATATTAATTAATTAACTCAAAAGCATCAATTAAAGTCAGAACAGTAATTCAGTACTTTCTCATGTTCCCATCCCGTTGCTTTAGAGGACATATAGAGATTGTTTAGATACATTTTCCTGCAAGAACTTCAGAGTACCAAGAATTTCCACTGCAAGGATCAGGGCAAAACAAACAACAAGATGAAGAGCGCCTACTCTACTTATTATATCTATACGGGATAAGGAGAATGAGTCGCTTTCTTAAGCAATCAGATTACATTAATTATGAAGTCAAGCAATGGCTTGTAATAACTCCTTGGCATTTCTAGTTGGAGAATTAACCCCTTGTAATTACGGAGCTTTAACGGGCGTCCAAATCATGGGCAGTCGGCACTCACTGAGCCGATTACTAATAAAGGATTTAATTATTTTTTACGCTACAGTGTGATTGTGTGATTATTCAGAAAATCTTGAGTACTTGAAATCAGACGTTTACCTGCAAGGATGACTTGAACCTTCCCCACAAATCATCAGGAATGTCCTTCAACGACAGCAGAAGTTCCATAAAACTCCTGCAAAAAGATAAAACAGATTGTGAGCATGGCACTTATATTTTTCATATTTTAATAACCAGGAATAAAATACGTTTCAAGGTGGAAAGCTGTACTGCTAATCGGCAAGATACGGTATCATTCTGTTATTAAATAATAGATAGATTTTTTATTTTCTTAGACTTTCTTTGTTGTCATTGCACGAAAAAAACACAAAAAAAACAGTCTGACAAAGAAACGTCGTAGCTTAGCAACCGGAGTACACAGTAACTAGTGCAAAACAAAACTGTGCTAAATATAAACCATAGGTAAATACATACATATAAACAGTATGGAAGTGAGAAATGTAAACAGAAATAAATAAGTAGTGCACAGAGTCTAGACATGAAATTATGAACCGTGAGAATAAGAATAATTTGCAGGGATATTTTCACTTTAATTTGAAAGTGTACTTACAGCGACAACCTGTCAATCACAACGGAAACATTTTCACATTGTCGAGACAGATATGGAGCAGCCTTCGCGTAACTCAGCAAGGCCACAATGTACACTTCCACAAGCGGTAAAGGCTCATCCTCTATCTTCCAACGACCTGCATAATCCACAAGTGTCTACAAAGAGAGAGAGAAAAAAAAAGCAAAACCAGATCGTACCGTTTTGTTTTTCTGCAATTTAGTAGTGGACTAAAAAAACATTACAAGTCCTGCCAAAAAATACAACTCTATAAAACATATTTAATAGAAGCATGGTTTGATTTGCTGCGAAAAGTCTGTTTAAGGCCAAGTTACCGTATATATCGCATATAAACTGAGTTTATAACACCAATAAATAAAGATCAAATCGGGGGGTTAAAGGGGGGCATTTTCCTTCGATCGCATCATCTCTGATAATAAACACCAAGTCGAACGTATGGTCAAAAATATCATTACACTTAATAAATAAATTAAATCCACTCAATCTGCAACTGATATTTGATAACGATTTTAACTGATATACAGTAATGCAAAAAAAAAAAATCACATCTATTCTGAATTTGGCAAAAAACATTACTGAAATCGTTGCAATTTCAACGTAAACAGTGTTCACCAAGATCATTTTCGAATTCTTTCGGTGTGTATATATGAAATATTCTTTATGCAATAATTTTTCGAATTCTTTGTTGATGCACACAGCAGGATTAAGGCATTTTACCGTGGCAACATTTGGAAACGTGGTCAGCTTATATGCGAGTTTTTGTAAAAAAAAAAAAAAAAATCACGATTTTTGGGATCGATCTTCAGGGGTCGGCTGATGCGCGAATCGGTTAATACGCGAGTATATACACGGTGTGTATATATGAAATATTCGTTCTGCAATAAAGTGAAAGATAATTTTTAAAAAAAGCTTTTCAAAAACTTTCCTCTTACACTTTTTACATGTCATCTATAGGATTTAAGTGGAAAAAGAAAATTAATATATGTATATGCCACCACAAAACTAATGACTACATAGGTCTGTAGTCTAGTTTCTCGTGGGAGGTGCACACAGTGGTGATCAACTTTGACAAGTTGCGATGATCTGAAAGCTAACTGCGTTGTTAGTTGTTTATAAGGTTAGATTACTAACCAAAATATCAACTGAACAAACTCAGCAGACCAACTCCACTGCCAAACGGATTGCGTGGCAGTGTATGCCAATTAATATTGATGAGAATAAGGACTTAAACGGAAGTTTTGAAAGCAACTCTTAACGTGTTCTACAAGTCTCCATCAAGACGCACAGTATTATTTAAAATCAACCCACACTAGAAAAAAATGCTGAACTTGTACTTTCGCATATTTTTGGCATATTCGTCCATATGTATAATTCTATCACTTGGATAAGTCACAAGTAAAAACCAATCTGAAACACATACATCTAACTGCAGTTAATCATGTTTCTACTGGAGCAATATACAGAATTTTTGGTTATATTTAGGAATGCTATTTTTTTTTCAATGAATTGTTAATTACAACCAACCCAAAGCTACTCTGATTAATCAGATTAATCATTTGTCCATCCTGGTGTTTTGTTGCAATTTTGGGTGACTTTAGGATTAAACAAGATTTAAAACTAATACAACAATAGAGCTGTGTACTCTGTAGTTAAGATACAACAGTGCAATAATTCACAAAGGCGGACATTAAAATCAATTCTAATCAAAAAATCACTACACAAATACTAATCACTGTCAAAAAAAGAGTACTATATATTTTTTGGACAAACCTATGACGTTGTTTAAGTTACTTTAATTACTTAACGCCGCTGTTTTAAGTGATACCATTTGTTCTGGCGAAGAGCATTTGGCTGCAACCTTTTCTACAAAGGGTGCGTTACGTTCTATCCGGCACGTACGCACGTCCAAGGCACGAAAACACAAAGTCGTAACAATGTCTTGATGAACACATGCTACTTCAAAATCCACACAATCGAGCTTGTACTCGCAAACAAACACTGTATAAGCACACGACGCCTAACATTTAGCATATTGTGGGTACACGTCAATGTTTACCAGGTAATGCTGAAGTTATTGCATTTTGTAGATTTTTTTTAAACGCTAGTCAATCAATACGGTTTTACGAACAACAGCTACAATATTCAGTTTGTGAACGAACAGCGACTATCACTGAAACTCTCGTAGATTTTGTAGCGTATGCTAGTACCAAGCTAAGTAGCAAATATAACCAAACCAGGCGTCACACATATCTATTATGTGGTCATGTGTAGTCAATACACATGCGATTTATAAAGGCATAAAACAAACACACGAATAGCCATGGAACACTTGGCTTTGGGGGAAAAAAAGTTTGGCATTGTATGACTGAACACGACCAGTATTGTAAGCGCTAGTTGTAGCATGTTAGCTTTAAGACAAGGGGTAGCTCACCCTACAAAACTCCTGACAATATTCAGAAGAAGAGTGAACCCGAGAATCACTGTCGTCTGTCACTGCGACTTCATGTAGTTCCTGCAAACGTTTTTGGAGTTCCCAAATCGTTTTATTGGTAACGTTTTCAGAACCATTATCCTTCTCGGCCTCTTCGTCCGCCATCTTCAGACCCAGCCCCGACTCGTCGCACGATAGCGGCTATACGTAATAGCGTCACGAGTTTACGTAAGGATTTCAACGTGAACGACGCAGTGTACTGCGTCAACCGCACACACGTTTACAACGTTTACAACGTTTAAACGTTTAACAAAAAATAAAATAAGAATGCATCACAGGAAAAAGCATCAGCATTATTAAATAAGTGTGAAATTTAAATTCCTTAAGGGTTTGTCAAACCAATTCTTTTGTGAGTTCTCAGTTAATGGATATTTTTAATGACTGGAAATTTTGGAGATACATTTAGTTGATTACGTCTACCATAGATTAAAACTCTTATGTTATTTAGTTGACTACAATTAGACTAAATCAGAATTTGCTCTTAAAATTACCATTTGTCTAGTTTGCTTTTTGTTTCATGCTTGGAAAAGAAGTCTGTTTCTGTACAGCATTTAAAGAGTAGTGCTTTGATAACGGTTTTGCAAATATTGTTAACAAATGTTTAATTGTATTGTTTTTTTAAACTTATATTTAAAAGAAAATGACACAAACCACCAAGACAAAACAAAATAAAAAAAAGACAATAACAAAAAGAAAAGAATTTGATGCATTTAAAACTAAAAAAAAAAAAAATCAAATGTTAATCTATTGAAACTTGGAGGACAATATGTTTAATAGTTCGAGGAATATATAATTTGAGAGGTGTTTTGCATGATGCCCAAATAGATGCCCTACCTCATACAATTAATATTTTTATTAATATAGGCTCAATTTCCCTTATTTCACAACAGATAAATATTACTAGATATTAATATATCTTTCTAACGTCAGACTTGTTCGTTTCTCTATGGTAGATTGTGATTAGCCTAAAGGACCAAGTAGGCTTTACTAAAAACAGAGTACAAATGATGTGGGTGTGTAGGTTAATGGAATGCGTAGACACTGTGGGGAATTTATGCAAAAGTTCAAGTATTGATTTATTTTTCAAATTCTACAGTTTAATTGGAAAAAAAGAGGCATTTTAGAGAATATTTACAGATTCAACATCGCTTTGTTGATGATACACGGAACAAACACATTCAGGAAAATTTGAAATCACTTTACATAGGACACAAGGCAGATATGTTTTTATATAACCTTATATAATAATAATAATAATATTTTTGGATTAGACAGCAAACTACGGACCGGGAGCCGGATGTGGCCCATTTGGCTTTTTAATCCGGCCCGCCAAA